TCGTATAATTTGAGTTGAAAGATTGCGTAGGAGGGACTCCTAAAGCAATGTGGAATCGGATAAGAAATTCTCAACCTCTGGAATATTGTTGAATTTAAGTTAAAAGATTGCGATAGGAGGAGCTCCTAAAGCAACGCGAAATCGGATGTAAAATCCTCAACCTCTAGAATATCGTATAATTTGAGTTGAAAGATTGCGTAGGAGGGACTCCTAAAGCAATGTGGAATCGGATAAGAAATTCTCAACCTCTGGAATATTGTTGAATTTAAGTTAAAAGATTGCGATAGGAGGAGCTCCTAAAGCAACGCGAAATCGGATGTAAAATCCTCAACCTCTAGAATATCGTATAATTTGAGTTGAAAGATTGCGTAGGAGGGACTCCTAAAGCAATGTGGAATCGGATAAGAAATTCTCAACCTCTGGAATATTGTTGAATTTAAGTTAAAAGATTGCGATAGGAGGAGCTCCTAAAGCAACGCGAAATCGGATGTAAAATCCTCAACCTCTAGAATATCGTATAATTTGAGTTGAAAGATTGCGTAGGAGGGACTCCTAAAGCAATGTGGAATCGGATAAGAAATTCTCAACCTCTGGAATATTGTTGAATTTAAGTTAAAAGATTGCGATAGGAGGAGCTCCTAAAGCAACGCGAAATCGGATGTAAAATCCTCAACCTCTAGAATATCGTATAATTTGAGTTGAAAGATTGCGTAGGAGGGACTCCTAAAGCAATGTGGAATCGGATAAGAAATTCTCAACCTCTGGAATATTGTTGAATTTAAGTTAAAAGATTGCGATAGGAGGAGCTCCTAAAGCAACGCGAAATCGGATGTAAAATCCTCAACCTCTAGAATATCGTATAATTTGAGTTGAAAGATTGCGTAGGAGGGACTCCTAAAGCAATGTGGAATCGGATAAGAAATTCTCAACCTCTGGAATATTGTTGAATTTAAGTTAAAAGATTGCGATAGGAGGAGCTCCTAAAGCAACGCGAAATCGGATGTAAAATCCTCAACCTCTAGAATATCGTATAATTTGAGTTGAAAGATTGCGTAGGAGGGACTCCTAAAGCAATGTGGAATCGGATAAGAAATTCTCAACCTCTGGAATATTGTTGAATTTAAGTTAAAAGATTGCGATAGGAGGAGCTCCTAAAGCAACGCGAAATCGGATGTAAAATCCTCAACCTCTAGAATATCGTATAATTTGAGTTGAAAGATTGCGTAGGAGGGACTCCTAAAGCAATGTGGAATCGGATAAGAAATTCTCAACCTCTGGAATATTGTTGAATTTAAGTTAAAAGATTGCGATAGGAGGAGCTCCTAAAGCAACGCGAAATCGGATGTAAAATCCTCAACCTCTAGAATATCGTATAATTTGAGTTGAAAGATTGCGTAGGAGGGACTCCTAAAGCAATGTGGAATCGGATAAGAAATTCTCAACCTCTGGAATATTGTTGAATTTAAGTTAAAAGATTGCGATAGGAGGAGCTCCTAAAGCAACGCGAAATCGGATGTAAAATCCTCAACCTCTAGAATATCGTATAATTTGAGTTGAAAGATTGCGTAGGAGGGACTCCTAAAGCAATGTGGAATCGGATAAGAAATTCTCAACCTCTGGAATATTGTTGAATTTAAGTTAAAAGATTGCGATAGGAGGAGCTCCTAAAGCAACGCGAAATCGGATGTAAAATCCTCAACCTCTAGAATATCGTATAATTTGAGTTGAAAGATTGCGTAGGAGGGACTCCTAAAGCAATGTGGAATCGGATAAGAAATTCTCAACCTCTGGAATATTGTTGAATTTAAGTTAAAAGATTGCGATAGGAGGAGCTCCTAAAGCAACGCGAAATCGGATGTAAAATCCTCAACCTCTAGAATATCGTATAATTTGAGTTGAAAGATTGCGTAGGAGGGACTCCTAAAGCAATGTGGAATCGGATAAGAAATTCTCAACCTCTGGAATATTGTTGAATTTAAGTTAAAAGATTGCGATAGGAGGAGCTCCTAAAGCAACGCGGAATCGGATATAAAATCCTCAACCTCTAAAATATTGATTTGAAAGATTGCGATAGGAGGGACTCCTAAAGTAACGCGGAATCGGATGTAAAATCCTCA